GTCTTCACTGCAGAGAACTTAGAACATATCAGACAAGGGATGGCAGAAAGATAGACAGGCAAGAGCAATGATATTTAATATGACAGCCTCAGAGAGCAATGTGAAGGAGTCTGGCAACTTATTCCAGACTTTTTAATGCATTTTCTGGAACACAGCTGTTCTACTTCTGTTCATAGAATCATAGAATGGTTTGCATCGGAAGGGACCTTAAAGACCACCTAGTTCCATCCCCCCTGCCATGGGCAGGGACACCTCCCACTAGTCCAGGTTGCCCAAAGTCCCATCCAACCTGGCCTTGAACACCTCTAGGAATGGGGCATCCACAGCTGCTGTGGGCAACCTGTGCCACTGCCTCACCACTCTCATGGTACAGGATTTCTTCTTAATCTCTAATCTAAACCTACCCTCTTTTAGTTTAAAGCCATTACTCCTTGTTCTATCACTGCCCCCCTGACAAGGAGCCCTGCCCAGCTCTCCTGTGGGCCCCCTTTAGGTACTGGAAGGCCACTGTAATGTCTCCTTAGAGCCTTTCGTTTTTTTGTTCTCCCTCCAAAATCTCCAGCACAATGCTGCAAAGAGCTTACTCAGAACTCTCTATGCAAGCTATCCAGGAGAAAATCAACTTTTGCTTTTTAATGAAGATTTAAAATTAAGCAAGGGCATGTGAAGGCATTCTTCAGTCCACTGGAAAATGAGGAGCAGAGAAAGTAAAATATTCCTAAGGCTAAATAGTTGTCTTTCAAATCATGAAACCCTTGACATTAGATAGCTCTTGCTTTATACTCTGGAAGCACTCAAGAGTTTGGCCAAAGATAATGCGTTAGTACTAGCAAAGAGGACCTAGGAGGAGGTACTTCATGATACCTGACTTGAAAGTGTAACACAGTAATTAAAGGAGTACCCAGCAGGGAATGAGGCCTTCACCTCTCTGCAGTTCTGAAAAAGGGATGTAAGTCATAGCAGCCTGTCCCCTGGTTGATATAGGTAGTGACCCACAGACTCAGTGGCAGAAGCTCTTGGTGGGTGGCTTGGGATCAGCCCCATGCACTCATCTCCCTGGTAGTTTCTGGCAGGCCCCCTGCTACTGCTGCCTGGGGGATACATGTCGAGACCAAATGACTAGTGATTATACTACCATTGGGAAATACAAGACACTTTATAATGACCCTAGTGCTCATCTTCAGAAATCAGGCCTCTGGGCCTGATATTTCAGACTGAGTAAGCCAGAGAAACAAGGAACTTCAGAATCACTGGTCATAGTCTTGAAAATGCTAACCATTCACCATCATTTATAAATTTTGCTTGAAATCAGACATCTTGAGGATTTTCACTTTTTGCTAGTTAAAAGCAGCATGATATGAAGATTTGCTTTGTGTGTGGAAGCCATGTGAGCTTTTACACCTGCATGCAAAACAAAATAAATGTGTTTTGTTACTACTTTGAACCATATAGCCACTTCTATTAAAAGCTGCAGGCAAATAGCTATCTTTAGTGTGCCATAGATTAGTCATATTTGTTTTCCAAGGAAGATTATAAATAGTGTTTAGGGGGGAAACAGAATGTATTTTGCAAATGAGCCCAGATGGAAAACTAACAGATGGCCCAGTACTGTATTTTGTATGCTCAGTCCTACATTTAAATTAAAAATTTTCATAATTAAGATGAAGGTCTTTAACAACACTAGCTACTTTCCCTGTGGCAGCATCATATATCATGTATCACAGGTATCAAGTATAGACTTTTCATAAAATAGTTGTAGAACATGTATGCAAATTTTACTACTGAATGAAAAAAAAAATAATAAAATGCAATTCATGGAAATTAAAGAAAGAGGAAAATAAAAACACTGTATACAAACACCCATCATACAATACAGATACTTACCACCATGCAGCTTTTTCCCCCTGCAAACTGAACAACACGCCACCTTACTTGGCAGGGGAAAGAGAAGAAATTTCACTTTTTTATTTTTATTTTTTTATAATGTTTCAGCCAGGAAATGGAAAGGAAATGCAAATTTCCCTTGCTTCACCTGAATGAAATGGTACTTTTTCTTCAATTTTAATAATTAGAAGGTCAGATAAACCACAGCCATATGCACACATTGTATTCTGCAAACAGAATCAAGAGTAGAGATTTGCATGCTAATATTTTCCTCCCAGAAAGCAGTATGTGTATGCATGTTGTTGTAGCTGCCACAGGGTTGGATCCTAAAGCAAGGACAATACCCTGCATATGGCTCAATGGATCAGGGAATTCAGCATGTCTCTATTCCTTGACATCAAGGGAAGGAGGGGTTCCTTTCTCAGAATGAACTGGCTGTGCTCCCTACTGCCTGGAGCCCTGACCCAGCATGGGAGAGATGCAGCAGCTCCTGTACTCACACCCAGCTACCTCTGGGTACACTGATGTCCTTTTCATGCTGCCTGTAAGAAGGAAGAAGTGCTACTAATAGGCTGCATGAAATCAGCAAAGTTAGGCTTGCTTTTGGGCCACCCAGGACTCACCCAGGAGGAGTAAGAATGGCTTCAGAGTGTTTCTGCCTTCCCGCCGTGCTCTCTGAGGTGTTCTCTGTTTTTCCAAATTGTAAGCCAGGCGCAGCTGTCCAGACATAACCTTGTGGCAATAGGGACAGCCTATGTATGAAAAGCACAAACACCACCCAAATATAGCTGCAAGGGGCTCTGCAGGGTTTATTAAAAATGACACTACTGGGAAGCACTGGGCTGCAAGTCAGCAACTCACTGGTTTTACAAAATAGTTCACTGTGGTAGAAAATACGCACTTTATTATCAGATAGAAGCTTCTTCTTCTGCTCCAACAGTCATAACATTTAAGTGCCTTACCACAGTGCATTAAATAGTGTGACTCATGACAATCATCTGGCTCATTTTCTAGCTCAGCTCATCCCCACGGAGGGAATTCTTCTTACAGCAGTGTCTTGTGTTGCTATAGTATGTACTATTTTTGTGCATGTTGCAGTGTGTACATAAGTAAAGGAAAGACTGAAGCTGCATGCCTTGCGTTGGAGCAGAATGGAGGATATTTGTGACGGTCTTTCCCACCTGTGGAAAAGTCTATTCTACAGTCACAGTCAGCTCCCAGGATGGCAAAGACAATCTTGCCCTTATGGAACACGTGGTAATGGGAATAGGCTGAAAAATATGAGCAAAAATGACTAAAATAAATAATTCCTATTTCAGATTAACCAATCTGCTAGCATTCTTAGGCATTCATTTTGCTAATTATAAATCCAAGGTAAGAGGCTATTTCGTTCCTAGGGAGTGCTATCATAATGCTGTCAATCTCTGAATGGTCTTTCAGAATTTTCTATGTCAGTTTGACATTTCTGGAAGATTTCTTTAAAAGAAATGCCCACTTATCAAATTCTCCCCCCTTGTTTTTCCTGTATATCACTGGTCAGGTGGCTGCAGAGACATCTGCTGGTTGTTAAATGCTTTAAGTATTAACTAATTACAAGGAAGACAGAAGATTTCTCAAATTGCATTTAGATTCTTTCATATATTTCTGTTTTCTGATGTTTTTTGAAATCAGGTTTGGCTGATTGGCATAATGGTGGAGTAAAGAACTGAGCTAGTCTGTTTCTGTGATGGTATTTAGTAAACTTCCTGAGTAGTGGGTAATCTAGTTTGAGCTATAGTTTTCATTTAGAGTTGCATACATTTAGAAGTCTACGATGACTCCCACATTCTACATGCAACTTCCTAACATTTTATTTACATCCCAAGTAGTCTTTTGGCTTTAATTCCGTATTGCAAGTGCAAGTTCTTCAAAATAAAGAATATTCTTTATCTATTTGTGCAGTATTGGAAAGCCAGACACTATCTTCTACCTCCAACAATTTGTATGGCTTGTTGTTCTGCATGTATGTTTGGGAAATTTGTCTCCAGCTCTTGCAATGTGCTGCTATTTCCCCCCTCCTCACACTGGCCCTACATTGGCACTATTTAAACCAATTTAAACCAATTCCACCTTAAGAGGTTCCTCCACAGTTGGAAGCTCTTTTTCACCATTCTGCTGATAATCCAACAGCACTGAAACACCGGTTTATTAATCAGCATGCAACCTAATCTGGGCTTTCAAGGCAGGTGAATTTGACTGTAAATCAGTTCTGCACACAGGTTTGTCTCTTCTGTTCTTAATTACACCTGTGCAAATCTTCATTTGCATATGATTGCCTAATATATTGTTTCAGCTATTTGCATTCCCAGAAGGCACATTTCCATATTGAACACTTCTTGGAGAACGAAAATGGCTCATTCATTAATTCAAATATGACAAACAAAATAGTTAATATTTCTTTTAGCTAGTGTTACCTGAAATTTCAGCCCATAGTTCTATAAAAACTCTGTGGCTGTAAAAGAAGTGGAACCAAAAACCCAACTGCATATTAAGGGTGAAAGAAAATTCATTTGTTTTTATTTGAGTTTTCTTTGTAAATGTTTATTGTGCAGTATTATTTTATCAGTTCCTGAAAACTTTAATATGCTACTATGCATGTTAACCATTGAGTCTACCATCAGAATGAGAGGATGGGATGTTTCCTTATGCATGCTTCCTCACCTTGGTAAAGGATAGGCTACAAATACATGTGCTCACTAGGGCTTTAAGACAAGCTTTATCATCTAGTCACCATCCCTGGAGGTCTTCAAAAGACGTCTAGATGTAGAGCTTAGTGATATGGTTTAGTGGAGGACTTTCTAGTGTTATGTCAGAGGTTGGACTAGGTGATCTTGGAGGTCTCCTCCAACCTAGATGATTCTGAGATTCTGTGATCTAGGTTGCATTTTGTGGAAAGCTTCTCAAGTAAAGGCTAGTTCAGTGTTGTAACTTCTCTGCATGCACAAGAGTGCCAGAATCAGTCCCAGACTCAGCAGAGCTAGAAAGACCCAAATCTTACTCCTGCCTCTATGATGCAGAGCAGTGGTGTCACAGATCTGCTTCACCACACTACCCACCTCTGACAGAGCAAGCTGCAGTGAGAGCCCCAGTCAATATGGGGGGTTGGTGCTACAGCAGTGTTTCTTGGCAGTATGATCTTTGAAACATACTCAAAGGAACAATGTGAGGGCAAATACCTGCTGACATGCCACAGAATCTTACAGAGCAGAGAAAGGAAGAAGGAATGAAAAGTGAAATTTAACTATTAGTAGTAAATCGTAAGTAAGTAGTAAAGCATGTGAAGGGATATGAAGGCATCCCAATCATGATGGGATTTTCACTGAAGGCTATAATATGAGCTCAAGATCTCTGAACAATGCTACACAGTGCATTGGACCATTGCCCAGGCAACCTGCCCAGGAAATAAGTTATTTCTTCCAGGTAAGCACCAGAGATTTCTTTTTCTATTTTCCATTTTTTCTTCAAATATATCCTTTTCATGGCTGCAGGACTGTGGCCTTTCTGTATCTACCTTTTTGACTAAAATGACTCAACACTTTCAATAGGGACCCAAATCGAAGCTGAATGATCATCACTGATATAACATGGACCTAAGAAATGCCATATCCCATAGCTGCTGTAACTTGTGTGGTGATGGACCAGCTCTCCCAGAGTAGGCTGGAGCAGAGGCTAAAAGCCATGGAGATGCCTGTGCTGCACAAACTCATGCACCACAGTCATGAGAACAGATTCCTAATGGCAGAGTTGGGTTTTTTTGAGTGCTCCTCAAACCAGAAGTTTGATTAATATGCTCATGTTATCACAGTCAAAATGGTGGTTTGAGAAATAGATACTGGGACATTGTACGGGAAGTCCCCATGACTGGCTAACAGAGGGGAGGAATTAGCATTTAGTATATTTTCCCAACCTAGATTCAGAGATGGCTGTTTTAGGGCAGGTGCAAAGACTGCTCTCACAAAGTCACTCCCCTGCCAGTGGACCCGTGTGGTAGGTAAAAAACCACTGGTGTGACAAATGAATACATGTGACAAAGCCTGAGGACAGCTGTGGATTGTAGCATCAGAACCCCACACAATGGCACAGAGGGAAGTTCCACAGAGAGCTGTTGAGGCTCACTAAGACTGTGTGCACCAGTTTAACCACAGGAAGGACATTTGCCTTGGCAGCTGGTGAAGTGACCAGGGGAATGACCATTTCCTTAACTCTGACCTTGGGATGTGCTTTCCCAGCTGCTCCAGTTCACAAGGGATGAAATGGTCATTGTCAAGCACGACTGTTTTCCTGGAGTTGTTCTACACAGAAGACACATTTCAGTGGCAACTGAAACTGGAGTCCTGACCTTGACCTGGGCAAAAGAGGAAAATGAGGGTGAGAGAAGGATTGAGTTGTTTTATGTCTCGAAGCTAAGTGCAGAGCATTGTGGCATCTGCCCCACTCCTTCTTCCTGTAACTCATAAGTTCTGACCACATCTAGTTGTCCATTTAAGAAAGAAAGTAAATCTCTCATGATGATCATTACGTTTTCTTGGGATGAGAATTACATTTACTCATGGCGCCTGCAAGCTGATAAAACTTTCTCCTCCCCAAAGAAAATTTTGTTTGTTTTGTCTTTAAAGCTTTGGGGCACCTTTAGTCATCAACTTTTGAATGTGTAGTTCAAGACCTTATTACAAGCACTTTAACTATTGACAGATGAGGAGTAGAATTCGTAACTGGATTGTTTCACAGTATGAGATAAAACACAAATGCTAGGGGAACCATGGGGCTACTGCTTTCTGTTAGTCTAAGAAAAAGAGGTTTTATTTCCAACATCTGTTCTCAGCTTGCTGTGATGTTAGCTAATGCAGAAGTTTCTGCTGCTTGCAGAAAAAAGATCAAGATAATTTGTTTTTTAATTCCTTTTGAGTATGGCTCTATCTGATTCATTCTGTTTCAAGAAGTGAAGTCAACAGCAGCAATTTATGTAGGAATACATGACTGCAAGTACTTGTCAAGTCTAGCTGAGGTGAGGTGAAGGCTTTCTGTTCTGACCTGAGGGGAGGGTTGTACTTTTGCAGTGGGCAGAACAGAGTGCAATCTTGCTGCTGATCTAAAACCCACCTGGGCCGAGCCCTGTAATCCCGTGCCTGCTGCAGCCAACTCCAGCTCAACATACTGCCAGCACGGGCACGCCACTTGGTGCTGGGGGCAGGCAGTTCTGGTAAGGATTCCCCCTCCTGGTGCATTCTTTTGGGAGCCTGCAAATACCAGGTGAGGCCAAGACAAAGGGAAGGACGTGGCTGGAAGCAGCAGGCTGTGTGGCTGATGGGCACCTGGGTGTCTGTGGTTTCAAAGCCCTAGAAAAGGGGGCTGGGTTTTTTTTCACAGGGCTTGTGAATGGTGCGGGGAATCAAGCAGAACTTAATGCATAGGCTTGCTCTCTTCAGAAAGGTGGATACAGCTCGGTGGGGGAGTTTGCATCTTAAGCTGTCCTGCTGTGCTATCACACTGGCACTTGTGGGTAGTGCTCACAATAAAAATTCAGTGTTATGTCTTGAGTGAGCAAGTCACTGAGACTGAAACTGCCACAGCAGCAGGGATAAATGCTGGCTAAGTGCAGCATTTCTAAATGCTCTATAAATAATTTGGCATGCAAAAGTAAGTGCAGGAAGATTTATGTATCGAGCTTTCCCCCTGTTTAAGAAGGATGTGGTTAAAATCCAAAGCACTGCAATTAGGATTATGTGACCAGTTATGATGCAAAGCCAGCAAACTTCAGCAGAGGGACTGAGAGCTGTTTTGTTTCCTGAAGCTGAACAGTGTTCATTGGATTGGTAGCAGGTCTGTTGTGCCCAGGAAATGAGGGCTGCAGAGGAGACTTTCCCTGTGGATGTGCTTTACAAAGCTAGCATCCCAGGACCCTCTGAGAGGGTGCCTCCATGCTTGCCCGGTGCTAGCCCTACCAGACCCTCCTATTTCACGGTGAATTGGATGTTTGGCAAGGGCATTTAGGCAAAGTGATGTTTCTAGAAAGTAACAGTGGTCTGAAATTACATTATATTTACTCTGTCTTCAACCCGCAATTTCAAAGTAGCCTATTTTTGCAGACAGCTCCACTACCATACCTGCAGGAACTCTGCCCTTGCCCCCTGTGTAGAGCAAGGCTGGAGATAGACAAGTATCATGCTGCATACAGCCCCTTGCAGCTCAGACATTCAGCATTATTTCAGACCGCAGTCCTCTGCAGTTTAGAAAATGCAGAAACTTGCACGGTTTTGTTGTGGTTTTGGCTCTGCTTCTACAACAGATGCGTAACTGAATTGTGTTCCTGGTGCTTGGGATGACACCAGCTCTCTGTCATAAAGTTGTCTTCAGGATTTCTGAGTATCTGAGAGAGATGTCTTAGATGATCTTTCTGCAGATAGCTCTTATATCAGGCCTGCAGAAATAGTATGCTAAGCCCTGTGTCATAGTATGGTAAGGAGTTTACAGCAGGGAGAGACAAAGGAGACAGGAGCAAGCTGCTATCTTGTCCTTATTAGGGTGTTTTCAAATAGTGGGGGTCCTGGGTTTTTAAGAGCTGACATTTTTTTTTCTTCTTAGGATTGATCTTTCTGCAAGAAAAATGGAGGGGGTCCTTGTTCCTGCTGCAGGCAGACAGCCATCCCTCAGCACTGGGTCCTGCTGGAGGGGATGCCCCCTAATTTTCCTGTGTTCCCCCAAAGAGTGTAACAGAGGCACAGGATCTGCCTGTAAGCACTGTTATTGCAGCTCTGTAATCAGCCAGGTGCTCCCAGGCTCAGCAAAAGGAATCACCCCATTGTCCATCAGGCCTCGTGCTTTGCCCAAGGGGTTATGTCATGGTTTTGTGCCATTTCTTGATACAGCGCGCTAAACACCTTAATTAGGAGCAGCCAGACCATCTCTTTTTTAAAGGGCTTTTGTTCCTTCTGTTGCAGTGGCAGCAGAGTTATCAAAGTGAAGTTCTTGCTGCTGTCTCTTTGACATGTAGTGCTCTGCAGCATCATTATAATGTAGTATATATTTTAGGGCAGGAGATATTGCCAGAGCATCATCTGCAGGGAAAAGCAGTGGAAGGACAATATCCTGTTAAAAATTAGGTTTGTTTGTACAAGGCAAGGAGAAAAAAAAAAAAAAAAAGCCATTAAAAATATAATAAGCACAGCTGGTGCTTAACCACTCTGGTGTGTGTCTGTCTCTCCTTCTCATGGAAATGGCTGTCTTCAGTGAGCTGCAGTGCAGCCACGCTCTGAGCTGTGGTGCCCTTCTCTCTGTGCAGATATGCGGTGCTCTGCCCTTCTTCTGCTGGTGTACCTGCATATCCCCCTCACTGCTGGGACTTGAGGCAGCACACCGACCTTACTCCTGTCTTGCTGTGGCGCTTTGGCCTTCCTGGCTTTCAAGATTTTCTCCCCATGTCCTCTTCCCTTTTTCTCCCTTCATGATTCCAACACTGCAACCTGTTTCAGGACCTCCTTTCAGGATCTCCTTTTTTCAGCTGCCCCAAGTGGCAGTTCATTTCAGTATTACCTTGTCTGCAGAAAGTGACAGATTCTCTTCCTTTTGTTTTCACTGTTGGCATGGTTCCCTCTTGCCCTGAAGATCACATTCCCTGCTCTGTTTGTCCAACCCCCTTTGTTATCTTTCAGCATCCCTGCATCAATGAGGAGTGGCTCTGGCTACCTCTTCTTTCTCAATTCTGCCACTTTTACTTTTTCCTTGGGATCAGGCTTAGAAACATGCCTCCTCAAGTAAATGCCTTTTTTGAAGTGTAGCCATCTATCCAGGTAAATCTACTAGACACGCACAAATATCTCAGTTGTTTTCTCTTCCTCCTCCTTTCAATGGGGCGCATAAAAATCTCTGTATATACCTTAGTATCACAGTGCCATGTGGCTTTTTTTCCTGAAGGAAAAAAATAAACAAACAAACAAATAAAAACCTGCGTAGATGCTTCTGCCACAGGCTGAGCCCTGAGATATAGAAAAGAATCAAATTCTTAAGGACATAAACCTCTGAGCCAATCTGATTGTAGCTTTTGAATTTAGGACTTTTTTTTTTTTAATTGTCTGCAGGTGTTTTATCCTTATTCCTATGTGGTAAGGAAATGTTGAAAATCTATCTTTATAGGGAAATAAAAATGCTGAGAGGCCACATCTACCCAAGATCTCTACAGCAAAGCTGCAATAGTGGAACAAGATTATTTTTTTAACCCTATTTTCTGCTGCCTTTATAAATCAGAGCAATATTACTCTGCTTTCTTCAGATAGAAAAAGGCATTACAGGACTGCTTTCCTTTCTGCTTTATCACGTGCTCCAGAGCTGAACAAATGGTAATAAGCAAATTATCCAATGAAAGCAATCTTTTCTTCAGTTCGCAAATGTTGTATGCTCAGGCTTACATTCTGACAGATTGCTTTTTTCCTAACAGTTTGTAATACCCTTTGTAGAGCTTATACCAACATATAAGCTCTCGAATTCCTTGCAAACAGTTTGCTTCAAGTATCTTCAGGCTGACCATCCATTACTAGTGGGTCAGCAGCAAAAAGTGTATTAAAATACTTTGGTTTCTTTGAAATCAGGAGTGAACCATACAAAGCACTGACTAAATATCCAGGTACTTGGGAATACAGCTATGAAGAATGTCTAAAAGGCTACTTCCACAAAAACATAGGGCGTATAGAAAAGTGAACGTGGCAGAATCATGGGGTCAAGATTTAAGAAAATGCTTGAAAATAAGTATGTTCTCGTTCCTTTTTCACTCTGTTTTACTGTACATGACACTATCTTTCCTCTGATCTGTTGCCCATCTCTGCTGGACCTCCCCGGTTTATTATAAAGTATCCCCTGCAGGATGGCATTCTTGGATGAAGTACAGAAAAAGCCCTCTTTGTATAATAAAAACAATGTGAGGGAGTCATTCATTGGATTGGCATGTTGTTGTTTTTGCTGCTTGAATGGCAGATTTACTGGTCTTTGCTGTGTAGGTATTTATTGCTGAGATGGGGGAGGAAACTGAACCATAAACATCTCAGTGACTTTGAATAAAAGCTGAAGAAGTGCTGAGGTCATTCTAGCAGCTTGTGTTTGTGGAGTGCAACAGAAGGTGTTCAACAAAAGACAAATACTTGCTTCAGCCAGCTACACTAGAAATCTGCTCAATTCACATTATTAGTGATTATTTGTTTTTATGGATGAGGTACAGGAAAACAGTGCTGTTTTCAGTAAAGCTACTCTGCCTGCAATTTAGTCTTCCCAGGAAGATCCCCTCTGGCTCCAATATTGAAAAAATGTGGCAGTGGCCAAAGTGTAATCGAGACCTCATTCCACTAGCCAGCCAAAAATGGTATTTTATATAATTAAGCCTTAGTCCGAGAAGCATAAAAATCTCTACATTAATTTGATTATCCATTCCAAATAGTTGAGTAGGAGGTGGGATTAGGACAGGAGTGAACAGGAAACCCAACAAAGCCAGAAGCTGCTCTGTACTTCAGGCTTGTGTTTGCCTTCTGGGGCACTTGCCTCGCCCACCAGCAGAGACCCTTGACTGCATAAAAAGCAGAGCAGGCACCATAATTTGATGTAGAAAGTCAGTTTCTGTAGAACCTATCTTCCACTGCTTTTGTTTGAAGGTTATTCTGTATCCCAGCACTTCCCACACTTGTACCAACATTGGGGAGAAAAAACACCTTTCCAAAACAAGATCATTTTTCAGTCGTGATGAAAGTTTTTTTCTATCATTTCCCAACTCCCTTTGATGTTGCAAAATTAACTTTTTCATGCTGTCTTCCCTGGGACTTGGAAGCCAGCTGTCCCAACAACATCCCAATGTAAGACTTGCATGCCAAAAGGCAAGAAGATTCCACAAATGTGGTATCTTAGGGTTGCAACATCTGATTTCAATTCACCTTAACATTCAATACCTGTGAAACCTTGCCTGCTGGTAAAGTAACTGATAATACCTGATTTGTGAAGCTCACACCCTCTATTTGTGCCTGAGACCCGACATGTATGAATTGCCACTGAAGCTAACACATTCTTTCAGATCAGCATTTCTTTCCAACAGCCCTACTTTGAGCTGGAACTGCACCACATGGTGTCCAAAGGCCTTTTCCAGTGTAAATTATGCAGTCTTTATCTGAATTCACATAGCAATCTAAGGTAATTGCCAAGGACCTTGTGATATATAGGATTATGGCCACACTACTCTTTTCCCATTGTGTGTCACCACAGCAGCCTAAACAGACATAGCTACCCTCAAACCAGCAGCATTAAGGAGTTTTGACCATGAAACTCAAATGACCCATATTCAGTCTAGGAAAGAAATCATTTATTTAACTCAGCCCTCCTTCCAAGCAGTGCCCCATGCTGTGGAAAAGCAAAAACAAAAACAACACAGCTTATTGATCTGCAGTGGCTTCTGTGGTCTTGCTGAAACCAGTGTGTTGTAAATTGCAAATGGATGGACCTGTCAAGAGTTGCAGTAACTGCCTGTTGTGTATGATGTGTAATCTGCATTTGCTATAATGACTTTGAGGAAGCCTGCTCAGCAGCTGTTGTGTGACAGTCAGAAGAGAAGAGAATGGGAAAGAGAGATTTTTCCCCACTGCTCCCCACTCAGTTATTCAGCCCTCTCAAACCCCCAACTGTCTAAAACAAGGAAGTG